CACTCAAAATACTGCTTTGCAACCCTCTCTACATCTTTGTAACCAGGCTTGTCATGCAAGTGCTTCCACCTATGCTTAACTTTGAAGAAGTGGATGTTTTCATTCACAGGAATGAAATAAATTAGCAGTGAGCTTAACAGTTAAGCATATGCATAAGTGTTTGTAGAACTGGGGCCGTACCTGTTAAACTGCCTTCCTTTCTATGATAGCTTAGACCTGGTCTAAACTGGAAAGATTTTGTACTTAAAGTAAGCATAAACCAAAACTATATAATCACAAATTCTTTTATTTATATCCTATCAAACTATGATTTGTTTTGAGGTGACATACCTCTATTTCCAAATGAGCCACTGTACTTTTAAGATTGGTGTGAACAGATGCCAATTCTCGGTTCTTAATACTGCTTTAGTAACTCTTCCACATACACATTGCTTTGGGACCCTCCTGACCAGCTGTCTTCCACCTATTTAAATGTTGGCATATACCAAGAGCATCTGTTTGCAAATCCAGCTTTTCTAAAATAGGACTTCTAAAATCCATCACAGCCTCAATCCCCTGTATTTCCAGCAAAGATTCTGGACCTTTGCTCTGTGAACAGATAATTGATTATTTTTTAGATTATACTCCCAGTAGCTAATAGGTTGCTGATATCTAGCACTAGATAGTTGAGCAGAAATTCAGGAAAGGGTGATTCAAGAATGTGCGTCAAAGTCAAGAAATCTGATGCAGACTTGCTAAAAACGCCAAAGACAAAAAGCCTTCAGCAAATGTTTCTAGGACTGTGCATGCTATGTGGAGATGGATTGAATTTTGGCAAAGAGGCTGTCTTGGGATACTAAGCGTTGTGCCCAGACAAAAGCAGAAGCACAGTTGGAAACTGCACAGGCCCCTCTGGACTCTGATTGGAAGAAAGATTCCCTGGACAGCCAAGACTCTTTTCATGAGAGATCAAATTTGATATCTCACTGGAAGTAGACTGACAGTGCTGCAGAGAAAACCTCATGTGGTAAGTCAAAAAAAAATAATATTTCTGTTTATGCTTCTTTTTTTGTGCTGTTTCAGGCAAATTTGGAAGTGCTTCCTCCAGTGGATATTGCTTTTACATCCTGCAGATATTACTACAGCAGATAGTGGACAAGTCCATTGCTGTGCTGGCTATGATTGTCTAAGCTAAGCAGACTCTGGTTCTCCCAAAAGGCATCTGAAGTTATAACCAAGCCAGAACTATTAAACTGAAGGAGCTTGTTCATACCAAATATACGTTAAACATCTATGGGGAGCAAAAGGCATTATATAGCCCCAAGCCTAATGCTGTTATATGCCAAATTCTCCTACTTTTCAACTGCCCCTATCCTCACACACTTGTGTGCTTATAAACCTGGTGAGAAGGCCCAACAGGGTAGATGATTTTAACTGATGCATGCACCACTTCAGGCACTCTTGTTTTTGTGAAACAAAAACACAAAGGAAAAATTGTGAGACCAGAGTTTGTTAATGTGTTAAGGTTTTTAAAGGTTAACATTTTCATGTATGTGAAGTTAAAAATAATAACCTTAACAGTTGAGGGTAAGGAACTTTTACAAGTGTTACATCTGTGAAGGCTTGTGGTTGCAGGAGCTGTAAAAGATTTTTAGCTTTCTATCTTTTACTCTCTTTACCTTGCTGTAGTTTCATTACTTAAGCAAAAATAAGGCATTTATTGTGCCTTCAGAATTCTGTTTATTTTGGAGCATGCTTTATGATTATCCGCTGGTGTTCATAACTGGTACACATGTTACAAAATTGTGCAGTTTTCCTTGAGCATGTATGTTGGTAGTGTTTCCAGAACAGAAGCAGCGCAAATGGTATCGAATTAGCACAAAGCATTGTCCATATCTTTTTCCAGTTATTCTTTTGCCTTTCTTAACGATACGTCTTGGCCTCTTCAAGACACAATCATGGAAATACTGATTTCTCTGAAATTTTTTGAGTAAATAAAATTACTGACTTTCTCTGTAAGAACATTTACTTTCTTAGACATGATTTTGTTAAAGGACACTGCAAAGGGCATGGGGCAAAAACCCAAATGGAAGCAAAAAAATCTGGTATTTGAGGTTATTTTAACTGGGAAGAGTGTAAGAGAGGGAAAAGAATAGTCGGGGAAGGAAATTGAAAATGCGAAGAATTAACGCTTTATCACTGTTGGTGCAGTGGCTATTAAAATAGTTTAATAATTGCTCCTTTGATTTCTCTGTTCTCCTAGCATCTTGCATGGCACAGCCTACAGAGGAAGGGATGTTACTAATTGGTTGATAAACCTGAGGAAAGAGAAGGCAAACATCTTTCTTCATCTTTAGCCTTGTGAAGGGATTCCAGCTTCAGGCAAAATGCCCAGAGAATGAAGGGAAGAGTTCGTGTTACAAGACAAGCTCAAGAGCAAAGGCATATGTGACATGCTGAGAAGTTGTCAAGGGATCATATGGAGCAATTGGAAAGAGAAAGGGACATGCAGAAAAGTACATTGGACATGATGGCAAAAGCTGACAAGGATGCTGGAGAACTTTGCACTTTGCTCGTGCATAACATCCTAAACCAGCCCAGCCCTGTAGCCTTTCATTCTTCCACTGTAAGCAATAGACAGTCCCTCCAAACGTTCCACCTGAGATAAGGGAGCACATGTGGTCCAACCTGCACGTTTCTGAACCCCCTACACAAATGTGTTCAGCCTCCACGTTAGTTCTTTTGTCTCATTTTAGTTCTTCCAGTTTGCACTATTCTGTTGTGCTAAAGCAGTAATTTTCGTTATAATTTGCACTTAGTTGGAAAGAATTATTAAAGTGTAGGTCTCCCTAATAGCCATTTGTAATAAAATTGAAATACACAAACTGTATATAATATATTGTATTCATTTTATTCACTGCACTATCATAAAGTTTCTTCTGTATCTTTGCTCGTAAAGTATGAGCACTGAACTTCTCTGGACACAGTTCCCTGGATCTTACAGATATATGAGAAGGAGAGAGATTAGCTATTCATAATATTCCAAAGTTGTCTTTTTCTACTTCCATCTATTCTCTCAGATGATGTTGGGCAAAACTCAGCAAACTCATGAGGCAGATGTTATGGCAGGGTAAGTAACCTGTGGAATGGGTGGTAGGGGGGCACATGGGCAGGTTGTAAATAGCACAGAGACAGGCTGGACTTGATAGGAGCTTAAAGCCTCTGCTTTGCTTGAGGCAGGATGCTGCCACTAAGCAGGCTGGCACTATTGTGAAAGCAACATTTCCCAACATGCTTAATCTCTGACTTTGAGGAAGGAAGGGGGACAGTCTGTGCACCATTTGGGGGAGTTTGCCAGCCCTGGTCTTACAGGACCCTCTAGCCTGTGATTAAACACCTCTTCCTTTCAGTCTTCCGAATGTTCACTGATCATGCTGTCTCAAATGAAGATATTTAAATGTCTGAAAAAAGTTCTGAAAAGCCAAGGAAACAAAGAATCTAACACAACTATGTTTAGTACTGCATGACCACTTCGATCCATGTGTGCTGTGGTGAGGCAAACCTTTGTATTTCGTGACATAAAACAAAGATGAGACTTTTCCTAAAGATTCTGGCATCAGACCTTTTCCAGACCATGTTAGCAAACTTCCTATGTTAGCAAACTTCCTATGATATCTCACCTGGTATGCACCCTTGCTCAGCAGAAAAGGGTCTGGTACCAGCATCTTTAGAAAAAACATCCTTATTCTGTATAGTACAGGGGGAAAGATTCTTGCTCCCCCAAACTTTTATTTGCAAAAACGTTCTGGTGAACTCGCTCCTAGTTTGGAGAACACATGGCAGCTACGTGGTTTCTCATGGTAGCCCCATGTATATGAAGCTGTTGGAAGGTTTATGAAAATACTGCAAAGCTTTGGCATGGACCCAAATGTCAGTGTAAATGCACACCATTGTGACAGTGCTAGGAGTTGATTCACAAATACTAGTACCTACAAACTGAAATAGATGAAAACAGCAAGTTATCATGGTATGGAAAAATGCAGTAATCCATGTTAAGTTATGACTGTTAAAGATCTATCCCATGACATTTTTAGACTGACTTCTCCCTAGGGTGCTCTGGAAGTGGTCTTCTGTAACTTGTAGTTACAAACTTGCACTGCTGCCCTTTTGTCTAAAAATGTACATTTGATTTGGTGCTGCTGACCCTTTCCAGGTTGCACTGGTGGGGAAAGAAAGAAATGGCTTTGTGTTTGTGTTTTTCTTTCTGATAATAACAGTGGGGTACCACAGTAACTATATGATGTTTGACCTCACAGTTATCCAGTTTACCTGGTTGCCACTGCAGCTGAAATACCCTGTAGCACTGTATCCAGGATTTACAGTTTAAAAAACTGTTCAAATAGTGTTTTTTAAGCAGTTTAAACAACTGTTTGAAAACAAAAGTGCCACCATGCTCCTGGCTAACGGCAGCAACAAAAACCAAAGTCAATCAAATGGTAATATGAACCAAAAAAAGACTCTGGTAGTTTGACACAAGTTTTTGCAGATACCCATTGGAAACTATGGCAAGCAATCTGCCAGATAAATGATTTGCACTGTACTGAGTCCTGTGGCTAACTAGCACATTGAGACACACTTGTTCAGAAGGCTTTGTATTGGGGGGGGGGGGGGGAAGGGGGGGCAAAAACCCAGTCCAGTCGAGACGCTGTCATTTAAAAGAGAAGTAGCATATACTACTATAATTGAAACTGTGTGAATGGGCATTTTCAGTTTTGGTATTTGCGTAACTGCAGGGAAAAAATAATAATAATAAAAAATCCTAAACTCCAAACAAACCTCTGTTAAGAAAAATCTTTCCTGAGTAGACCAGCTCTTAAATACATGATAAATACAAGTTACGTTGATGAGTTTACGGAAACTGAAGATAATCTGTTTTCACGTTTTCTTTCATATTTGTAAGGTGAACTAGCTTGTAGTTCTATCATTGCAGGTTCCAAGATGTAGTGTGTGTGCTGTATAAGGAGCTATGATGCCATAAAATCACTTACATATTTAGTAGCATCTGTGGGCACTTTTCTGAGTTGCCTTCCTCTTTCCTGTGGACCTAGTTTTGTAGCACAGCAAGTCTGTGAACACACTGGCATTTCTTGTCCTTGACAAAGGGTTAAAAATCTGCGTGTGTCTGTCATTAGTAGCATGAATTAGGTTTTATTCCCCTTTCCTGGCTTGCTTTTCCATCTCCTGAGAAAACCTCTTTTTGTTTGGTCTTGGTAGAAGGGGAGGGAGCAATGTATTTTATCACAAAGGCGTGCTCCAAGGAAAGCATGTTCTCTCATACTGCCAAGAAAGGTTATAGCACATTAAAAACTTAATTTGATTACTCTATCAGCTTGTTTGCCTGGAAAGCTGAGAATTGTTGTTAAAGGAATACCCACATAGAGGGCTTGAAGAAAGTGTGCAAAATGAGGTGGTATAACCTCTCTAATCAATCCGAATGTTGCCCCTATTTGTAGAAGTTTTCTTCTAGCAAGGAGGTTGGCTGTTAACTGCTCACAAAGGCCGCAGGAGCGACAGAAACTCGAATCTTGGTGCTTAAGCTGCTCCGCTTCTGTAAGCTCCAGCCTGCTACATGTATGCCACAGTAAACAGTTCTTTGCAGCAGCTGTGTTCTGGTCCTCTTGAATTTTTGGCAATTTGTTTGCTGGCACTTACTGTTGTCTTCTTAGTGCCAGCCCCTATGCTCAGCGTAGCCTACAGAACTCGTTTTATAACGCTGTCCTAGAACAGACAACGTCACCCTCTCCCGAATTGTGATGGCTGCTACTTTTTGCTCCAGTGTCCCTTCTTCCACTCTCCTAGAATATTTAAAGTACTGTTAAGAATGGGCTTCTGGTAGCTAAGAGGATTGCGGTGTTCTTTGTGGTGGTTTGTTTTCTGCAGCGTAGGTGCGGATCAGGGTATAGCCTTTGCTGCACGCAGCCAGTGGCTGCCAGTTCAGTCTGTCCTAAACTTATGAACTCAGCAGGCCCGCTTGGTTAGCAAACTGCTTGTGTCTTTCTATTCACTGGTTACCTCTTTCAAGTGAAGCTCACATTTAGCAAAAATAACCTGATCTTTATAGATGTCCCAGGGACACCCATTAATGAAATCCTGCTCGTATAGGCAGAGCGCATGGCTAACTACTTACGAGATTTCCTTCTCTGGGTTATTTGGTATCTAAAGCCCAGAAACCTTCCCATTAATGGTTTAGAAACCCAAAAAGGGAGGCTTTTGTGTCAACCTGTAGTTGTTTTCTGAAGATACTGAACTTCCCTGAGTTAAAATCCAGTGAGTAGTGAAAGCAATTCAAATCATTTTAAGATGTGGCATGGCATAACATGCCCTCTGATAGCAGTGTGCTGGGCTTAATGACCTGTGACCAGAAATACAAAAGTGTTTGTGGTTTCCCTTAGCAGATGACCGTTTATGACTCATAAAGGAGAATGCAATTGAAACGGTATTTCTGCAATTGAATTTTTTCTTCCTTGACTTACTCATGATTACAGAAAGTCTCATGGCTTCTGCTGCAGTCGTGTGGCAGAGCTTAAATGCTCATTCACAGTCGCCTCAGCGCAATGGTCTGGTGGCTATTGTTATACGTTTCCTTAGATTTCATTGTTGCTGAGAAGTCATAGGAAGTTTAAGCAGGAGCCAGCTATCCCAGCAGTGCTAGTCCTAGCCTCCCCAAGATGATTTTTATGCTTTTCTTCTGAAATCTTTCTGTGCAGCTTCTGATACGCTTGACTTTACATGAAAATGTGGTCTCTTAGAACGTCAACCAAGTCCTGCATTCATGTCCGTGCAGTGTCCCATCTCCTGAGGTGGGTTCCAGTTGCATGATTCCTTATTTAAAAAAAAAAAAAAAAAGTTCAGGAGTTTGAAACTTCCTCATTCACAATAGAAAAGATTTTACCCAGCTGCACTTGTTTGCAGTGGAGGAAAACTTCAGTATGTGCATATTCACACTAGCTGCTCTTTTTTTTAATTATTTTTAATGACATTTCTGAAATTCTGAGCATCTTCTGAACCCAAATGCTGGGCTGTTGGAGGCACTTCCTCAGAGATTTACCTAGTGGCAGTTTCAGTTCATTGCTTCCCAGTACAAAAACATTCATATTTTGTCATCTGAAGATACTGATCTTTCAAGAACAAGTTTAGTGGGGTTAAGCCTCTGCCTACCTCCTGCCCCCTCTTCTATTCCCACTCCATAAACATAATCTAAGGGTTTTTTTGATAGGACTTACTAGACTGTTATTTGAACTTGTTGGTAAATGCTCTCTTCTTGACTGTGAGAGTGTTGGCCAGGAAGGAAAAGATAACAGGTACTTTTGGGGTACTGATTGCACTGATTTTTTGAGGTACTGATCTGTGCCAAACTGTTTAAAATCTGTTATGAAAGGTAGGGTCTCCTTTAGAGCAGACGCATTTCTGCAAAAAGCATCAAAGGTCCTGTTGAGACTGTTAGCTGCCCTTAAAGATCTTTGGAGAGGCCAGGGAGCGTTCACGTACAGGAGACGGTGCCAGAACCCTCTTGCTGCTATAGGCTGTTGTACGGTTTGTTTCTGCAGCTTCTCCCTGTGGACTTTGCCTTTGTGGGCATGGTAACCCATGGAGTCGTTTAATGGCTAGAGGACTCCACTCCTCCCTTAGGAGCTGTGTTTTCTCTAAGTTCTGAAAACCTCGTTGTCAGCTCTCCAGTATATTTTAAGCATAAAGTTCTCTTTGAAGAAGGAAACAAGCATTTCTTATTGAACTTTTGCCTTATATCCATTAAATTGAATCATTAGGCTTAACAGCGATTGACCTTGACTTGAGTAAGAGCTGAATGCTGATTTACTGCACTTTACCAAAATAGCAGGATAAATGAATAAGTGACGTTCTGCCTTCTTACAAATGGAAAAGCAAGTGTTGTAGATGTTTTCTCTTTTATATGTGATTCATGGTCCTATAAATTAAATACTCTATCTAGATCTATGACCTGCAGCAATTGCATTTCTCCAAAAAACTCATCTGTATAGTGTGAGCACAACCTTTCAAGCCAAATCTCTTGCATTGACTAACTGTAACATTGTCAATAACGTTTAAAGTGTTGCGCTATTCAAAATTATTTTCTGAAGGTTGAGGTTAAAAGGTAATATGCTTATTTTTACTTTAATATCAATAATTCATATTACACTGGTGGCCATAATATTAATCAACTATGTTGAGTGACCAATATTCAGTTTTCAGTCTATCTTCATTACACAGTAATCCCGTCCTTACAGTTTGTTTTGTGACGTCTTTTGACTGTACTGATGATGTGAAATATTTGTAGTGTTTTTAATTCGCAATGGTTGCCCTTAAAAGGATTTTTTGAAATTAACTCTAATAAACTGCAGAGCATCACAATGTCTGCAGTGCATGTTGGGCCACATACACTTTTAACATCAGGATTTAATATTACTAGCTAGATATGATGTGGATTTGTTAGACGACTTTTGTTTTTGGAAACTCAGAACACTTTCACAATGATATAATTAGGTAGTTTATGCAGCAGAGGGTTGTTGCAGTTGATCCTAGGGGAGCAGACATCATTCATTATAAATTGTTTTTAAGCAGGCCTTTAGACCAGCTTTTTTATGTATGTATTATCATAGTTGAAAAGGATTTACCACACCCACTATGCAGGATTTGAAGCCATTTGTAGACCTAAATCCTCTTTTTCCTTGACTTTGTTTCTCAGACCACCAATTCTCCCTAGTCCTTCTCCTTCAAAATCCATTCCAATCCCACAGCCCTTCCGACCAGCAGATGAAGACCATCGGAATCAATTTGGGCAACGCGACCGATCCTCTTCAGCCCCTAATGTTCACATCAATACAATCGAGCCAGTCAATATTGATGTAAGTATTAAGAACGTTTAGGTCAGAAACAGTGGAGTTGTGTTTTTTTTTTCTTACTCATATCAGTGCATTCATTTGTAATTTGCACACACAAATACTAAGTTTTTAAGCTAATTCTTGGTCTCTCAGAATTTTCATAGATGCCAGATAAGGAGGTTTTTGCTAGTCAGAGCTGTGAGAATGCAAACAACTCCTTAACCAAAAGCAGAAAGTGCATTTTGATGGTCCCGTGCTTTCGTTTTCAAACAGCCACGCTATCCCAACACACCACTTGTTTTTTATGATTAGTCCCAAGGCTTGTACTGATCGCTGCACCGCAGCATTATGAATCTGAAAGCCAGATTCTGTTGCTAACCTTTCTATGCATTTATATATTTCTTTATATGAGAGATTTTTTTAAATATTTGGATTTAAGAGAAGTGTTCCTGGCATTGAAGGAGATATGTTTTTTGTAATATGTCGAATTCAGATTTACTGGGTGTTGCTTCAGATTTCAGGATCCCAGTATATATATTATTGTAAGCGTTCTTTCATAGCATCCAGAAACTGCTACAGTTATTAATAATATGTTTTCCCCATTTTTGAAATTCCTGGATGATGAACTGCAATACTCAGTAATGGTTGATATTAGGCATAATGCCAGCAAGCACCTTTCAAAATATTGGTTACAGCATCCTCTTTGCAATTTAGCTAATATATATGGCTTGGTTTTTACCCTTGAGTGCACTCTTTAGACATTATTCACTTGTCATGTGAGCAGTCTTGAAGTCTACTTGGCCCTTAACGAAGCACAAAATCCTTTTTGCTTTGAGTGAAAGGTGAAAAGTTAGTTGACTATTAAGAGTGTGGCTGCACTGTCGTTTGCATATGGTATATAGCACTGGGTGCAGCTGAGAGGCAGGACTAGTGATTTCAGCAACACGGCAAATGCATGAAGGAATAAAATAATTGTGTAGCCATAGCCTAGATACCCAGATGTTAAAAAACAAACAAAAAAAAACCCTTAATAATGAAAATGGACCTACAGATGTCATTTGCTAGAATTGTTTTCTGTTCAGAAAACTGCTATTCTTAGTGTAGTTTACTTGCAGTGTGAATATTTTGTAAAAGGTGCTCTCAGTTAGCAGCGGACAGCAAGTGAAGGGCATCTATTGCAATTAGTCATTTCTGAAAAGAACTGAGTGCATCTGGGTATATAAATGAGGTACTTTGTAACAAAAAAAAAAAAAAAAGAATCAGCAGCAGAACTCATTTGATTTATTTACCTCAATACAGGAAATTGATGTCCCAGCTTCCAATATGCAAGTTCAAATATTTTGTGTGACCAACAGTATGACTAGAAAGTTTGGTTCAATATTTCTTCTTGCATTTTGGACAACTGCATGTCTAAATCATTCTTTTCATGTCAGCATCTGTTGTGGTGTGCCTTTCAGTTTACTGCTGGGAGATACTGTTTTAAAGTAAATCATTTTGAAAAGTTTAATAGTCGTTATAACTAGTTCTTTGGAATTGCTGTTGTTAGTGAGTCAAGACAGGAAACAACTTTATTTGCTGGACAACATAGATGGTTATGGATTCCTAATTTGATCACTCTTTATTCTGTAATGTAAATGATAACACAGGAATTAGATACGTTTTTTTTCTTATTTATAGGACTTGATTAGAGACCAGGGTTTACGAGGAGAGGGAGGTAAGTAGTGTTTAAACTAGCGCCTGTGCTATATTTAATTCCAAAATTGCTTTGTCCCTCTCTCTGTTTTACTTCCTTCTACAAAACACAGACACGAGGGGGAATATGACTAGAACAAAAAATGAATTTGCGTTTGCTTGTCCATGATCTTAGTATCTGTCTGACAAAGGTTTGAGTCATTTGCCAGTCATTCTGGGAGTGGGGGAGACGGAAGGAGAAAAAGCTTCGAAGTGGTATCTAGCTTTAGTTTTAAAATTGTCTCAACAATCTTGTATTTTTTTTTCTCACACAAACAGTCACTCACTCACATGACTGCACACAGATATGCTGTAACTCCCAACTCTTTCTCAAAGATTTTTATGCCTGTTGTTACCCTTCCACCCATGGAAACAACAGGGGATTTTCTTTGAAGTCCATTGACACAGTAGATGGTCCTTCTATATGAATTGCTGCATCCTAAAGCAGCATGAAATACTCCGCTTCTTCTCCCCCTCTACCCCTGCTAAAGATGCTGCTTTGCTGTACTGCATGCCTGTGCTGATCTTGGAACCAAGTTGTTAGGACCTTAAGTTAAAACCAGGTCTCTTTGTTCCTTTCAGTAACGGTGTTGTACGTACCCTTAATTCACTGTAAAGAGAGAACTAATGCCAGAAGACAGATTTATTATTCTTCATGTGTTATGCACAGGCCTGTTAAGTCAGTTCTCCCATTGGTTGTCAAGGTCTTGTGGGGGCTTCTCGTATACTGTGTTTTTACCTTTGAAACGATACAACTGTATCTAATAAAGAGGGCAGGCATGTGGCAGTTTCTCTGACTCTAAATTATTAACACAGTCCTCTCCTATTAATTACGACTTGCTTCAACTATAAGCAAAGTCTAAATTACCTTGATGCACTCCATCTTGATCTCTAAGGTTTCATACCATGAGCTATCCCTAATCTTTTTTCTCCCATTGGGATCTACTAGCTAGTAGAATAGTACCTACCTACTGGTTTGTGTTTGGGGGAACTGTTTTTTCTTATGCCAGCAATAGAACACTTTTTAAAACAAATTTCCTCTAGTCCTTGCAAGCACACTAGTTTAAAGTTGCCAGTTTTAACTATCTCGTATGTCTTGGTAGGTGTGGCTCTCCACAGTTTTGCCCGTTTTGTCCAGCATTTAAATGTTGTACTATCATGTTGGTTTTAGCTTTTGATCATAAACTGTCTGCTTGGCATCTGAGAACAATTGGCTATTCCCATTCTTGAAACAATGTTTTTAATAATTGACTTTTTTTTCCTTCAAAGTACAGAAGCAATCTGTAAATAGGAGTCAAAGCATCCTAGTTATTTCCCATGACTTCTTTCATTTCTTCTATATGTCTGTCTTTCTGTCTCTGCCTGCCCGTCTCTTTCTCTCTAACAGCCCCTTTGAACCAGCTGATGCGCTGTCTTCGGAAATACCAATCCCGGACTCCCAGTCCCCTCCTTCATTCTGTCCCCAGTGAAATAGTGTTTGATTTTGAGCCTGGCCCAGTGTTCAGAGGTAGTTGGGCTCTTCTTTCTTGTTTTCACCCAAAACAAAATAAGTAAAACCACAGATGCTGTTTGTGCCTCACCCTCACACCGTGTGTATGTAAGTGTGTGAGTTTATCAAAACACCTCTGTTTTTTTCTGCTTGGCCTGGCTGGAATGCTTTGAATGTGCTTTTCACACATACTCACTTTCACCTTTACACGCTTGAAAATGACTATAAATAAAGTCTGATTTAAATCTTTTAAAGCAAGGAATTTCATAGTTGAGGTTTTTATTTGGACCTTAAAATAATTTTTCTAAACAAAGGTTCTTGGATTTCATTGGAATAGTTTTAAAGACAAAATGGCATCCTTAACTTGGAATTTCCTTGACTGTTCATTTTAAGTCAGTTCAGTGCTCTAACAGTTTTCTATATTCAGTGGTCTTTGTTTTGAAAAGTAATCTAGGAAATAAAATGTGAATTACAAACATTTCCATTGATGTCTTGTTAGGTCTCAAGCTTTTCAAGTAACGTCAACTTCCAATAAATACCTTATTTTTCGAGAGTTTTATTACCACCACACTGGGAGTCTAGATAATTTAGACCAGATCAGCCTCTCATGAAGTTCTTATTTAGTAAACTTCTGGTGATGTAGCATTTGTGTCCTGAACTGCACAAAATAAGTCTTCTGTTTTTCACATGTTATTGGCTCTGGGGATAACTCAGACCTAAAGCTGTCAATGGATCTGTTGTATTGCACAAAATCCCAGCAATCCCAAGATTTCATATGCTGGAGAAACCAACTATTAAGTAGTAGCATGGAGTATTAATATCTTTATGTATACATGCAGGAATGGGTAATTCAGTGCATGTAGTGTGTGATTTTCAAATGCTACCATCTTGGCTGTTTCAAAGACTTTTGTTTCAAAATACATCAAGAACAGTTCACTTTAAGAGCTTGCAGAATTGTTCTAGGTTTTTTCTTTTCTTTTCTTTTTTTTTTAAAGAAGTTAGGTGTTCCCAACAAGCAAACTGACTACAGAATGGAATACGTTAAATACAGCTTCAAAACCCCAGAAAATAACTGAAGTCCAGCGTTATCCTAAATATTCTGCTCCAGTAACCTGGAAAACAGACCTGATAGTACCATGAACAGATAACTGTAATGTTCTACCATGTGTTGTAACCTTTTTCACGGAAGGGTGAATATTGTGCTAGTATTTCTTCATGTTTAAAAAGGTAGTAGGAGACTCTGCTTACCTGTAATGAAACTATGTTCTAGTAGAGCTTTGGTATTACAGAGAAAAAAACTGTAACATAGTAAGCTTTGGGAAGATTGCTCCCGTTCTTTAAGCATCGTACACTTAATTTGACATTTGCGTGGAAGCCATTATTTTGCTCCCTGGCTTCCAAGTGTGTGTAAATGTCATTAGGATGCCCAATATGCATTATTATTGCTGCTTTAGCACGTGGGGCAAATGTTATGGGTGCTGCATCCCATTTTTGATGTGTTGGTATGTCGTTATTGGGCGCTTCCACTTGTATGGATTTTAGCTCAATTAGGAGAGGCAATGATTAGTATAGTCTGATAAATTAACGCACACTGAATGACTGAACTCAAGTTATAAAAGTTAAAGTGGAATTTGAATTCAGGTTGGTGTTACAAGACTCTTTAGGTAAGAAGGGGGCTTATGAAGGAATGTGAGGAGGGAATACTGTCTTGTACCACTTCCCGAGGCACTGATGTAAGAGAAAGCGCTGGAGTGTTGGAGGTCTCGTACAGTGACATACATTGCTTAGCAGAGCAGCATAAACTTAATTAACAGTTGACCCTACTTTATGCCCTTTGCATTGGGAGTGTCAGCATAACCTTGTTGCTAATAATTATAGCGTATTTTAAAAAGCAGTGTCTAGTTGAAGTGTTCTGCTTGTAAAGAGGCATTGGAGCTCTGAAACACGGCCCTATTAGTGACATTTTTCTATGTAGCTTTGTTTATATAAGATGTATGCTACAAAGGTACTATGCTCTTTATATTTAATAGAATGTGCTTCAAATAGCTAACTAAAGTGTTTGTTCTTTTCTTAATCCTTTCTACAATATTTTGTTTGTAAGAGTAACAGAGCTTTAAAACAGCCAAATTTTTTTGAGGTGGCACTTGGAGACTCAGCTAGAAAACATTTCTATATTTTGCGTTTAGTCTATTTTAATTCCAAAGTACGGTATCTCAGCTATTTATTGAGCCCCAAAAAGGTTAGCTACAAGAAGTCCTGAGAGGCAGCTGCTGTTAACTGAATTGCTAATGCTTTTCTTGTCAAAGAAGCTAGTGGAATTAAAAAATAACTTTTTATTTAAAGAAACATTGTCTTCAATGTCCCTTCAACAAGGGACAGAGGTCTCTATCTGCTATATAGGGATGTTTCTTATAGACTTTACCTCTTCCTGTTACCTGAGTGAGACTTGAGTTCTAGTTTAATATTAGTACAGCATTCCTGAAGTATGTATTTGTTTCCTCTTAACATTTACATTGATGTTTGGAGATATTGCATCTTAAACACAATTCTTGCACTTAGTATTAATACATTCTTACAAGCTCGCTTCTTATGATCATAGATAAAGTTATGGTATTTCTGAAATTTAGGTTCAACTGCAGGTTTGTCTGCAACCCCTCCCGCCTCTTTGCCTGGGTCACTCACCAATGTGAAAGCATTACAGAAATCACCAGGACCACAACGGGAGAGGAAGTCATCTTCATCCTCGGAAGACAGAAATAGGATGGTAAGGGAAAGATCAATTATTTTCATTCCTCTATAGCACACACCTATATTCTTCTTACTTTTATTTTATCAAAGCCATCTGAAATTATTCTGAGGATGAGTATTGTGGTAATCAAGGGCTCTAAAGCAATAAATAATGGAACATTGAAATCGTGGGATTATACATAAAACACTTAGATTATACTCACTTTTATTGCATTGCACCCAAAGTCTTGGTGTGCTTCTCACTATAATGCTAGTTACCCTTCAAAGAACAGTTTAACTTTTCCGACCGTGTTTCATGAACAGTGAGTGTTCTCTAGTGATTCTCAAATGTAACAATACATTAAAATGACTACATTTTTAAATTCACATTTAATCTCTTTATTTTTTAATTCTTAGTCGTGAGACTTCTTTTTGTTAAAAGTTTCTCAGTTTTTACTAGATTTAACACTGCCAGATGTCTGTAAAAAGTATTTCATATCAGGAAGTTATTTAGTATACATGTATATTGAGGTCTTATATGTGCCTAGCTTGAAAAGAATAAAGATTAAGTTATGATTCAAACACTAAAACACTTGTTCTGCAAGTCAAATTGAACATTTGAAATAAAAGTTATTGTTAAGACTTTCATGATATAAAATACTGATATAAAATTTTTCATGAAGGGCCTATGTTAGCAGGCATTAAAATTTTGCTTTCCTTTTTTATTTGTGCATAAATATTTATATACGTATAAAGAAAACCCTTGGTCGACGGGATTCAAGTGATGATTGGGAGATACCAGATGGACAGATCACAGTTGGACAAAGGATAGGGTCTGGATCATTTGGAACGGTCTACAAAGGAAAGTGGCATGGTATGTGGGCCATCATGGCCAAGAGTTAGTCTCAAGAAAGTGACCTTACCTGAATGTTTTTTAAATTAAAAAAGCAATGTGTTAAATAGGTAGAACTTATTAACTGTTTAGAAACTGAACTCTTGCCTGTGTCTCTGAATGAGGTAATATTCAGGGTAAAGATGAAACATAGTTACTAGTGAGGCTGAAGTATCCATCTCCCTGAATTAGAGTCCCAAGAGTGTGTGTGTGTGTGTGCACCTGCTTGGAAAGCTTAGACACAGGTAGGGTGTCTCATAGTAAAGAAAGAATGATGTTTGTATGGTTTTACAGAATATTTACTTATTTTAATATTGTAGTGATTGATTTCACCTCAGCTAGAAAATAGGATATCTCAGTATTTGCTCTATTTAGCGTTTTCTCAATTGAAGAATCTATGTCGACAGCTCTTTTTAAAAATTGCTATTTTAAGGTGATGTGGCAGTGAAAATGTTGAATGTTACGGCACCTACACCTCAACAGTTACAGGCTTTCAAAAATGAAGTAGGAGTGCTCAGGTAAGAATATTTTTAGTGGCATAAGTTCATCTTTGTAGACTTTGTAATCATTATGTTTTATATTTCCTTTAGAATACATTGATCTTATTCCTCCTTCATGGAAACTTTGAACAGAAAATACAACTTGCAATTTTTAAACATTTCTTTGTATCCACTGCTAATTCTTCTTTCCCCTGTATGTCTTTGTCAGTTCAGTCATGTTGTCAGTGTACATATGTCCAAAGTCGAGAAAGGACAATGTTTTGCTAATATAGTACCTACAGGGCACAGTCAAGCCTAAGTGTGTACTGTAGGCCCTCCTTTTCTGTCATCCCCATTTTGACACTGAAGGAGAGCATGACTACTAACTTGTTTTTCCAACACCACCACTACCCATATCTTCCTCTGTTTAGCAATTTATTTTCGGTAGTGACTCTTCTCAAGGCTTTTTTAAACGTATTTCTCTCGCATAAAGTCAGTTCTTGAGATCCTTTGCTCATATTTCCTGCTTGTACTTTCTCAGAGAAAGTATTTGTCTTGGGTTCAGTTCTTACAGGATCTATCAATGCAATACCATAGAATACTTACTGGAGAAGACTGTTGGCACCCAATTACTTTCTTGAGCATAATTCTGTTTTAAGAAACGAACCAGAAAGAAACTTATTGTCTCTGGGAAGCTGTTGTGTTGAGCTGGGTGCCACTTCTGGAGGCGCATCCCCAGTAAGATATGTGGTGAAAAGGGGATGGTCAGCCTTTTTCCGAGGAAATGTCAGTTTTGAAAACTCTAAGCTCATAGCTGTGAAAGGAGAGGCTCACTGGGGTGTGCTGCCACAGATACCTGTTGCATATTTTTTTGATATATCTGCTCAGGAGAAGTTACTGAAAGCCAAAATCTAATGTCAGAAATCTTGCATTTCATCCCTAGTCCAAATTTCTGCTGGAAGCCTCATAGCTGGAGTCCAGCCTTTCTCTGTTGTTGATCATTTCAGCAGTTATGGCAGTCAGCTCTCCTATCTTTTGACCCAGATAAGCTAGATTTATCTGTAAGTGTGCCTTTTCCTTTATGCTTCGACAGTATTTTCTGAGCTTTGAGGCAGGATTTGCAAATTGTTGATTTTCATTCACTCTTCAGTTACTCTCCTCACCACTTTCCAAATCCTTGAACCTGAAAAAGGCACAAGTCACATAGTCAAAAAATGGCCTAGTCTGCAACGCTGGAAGGACAAAAGGGTTCACCCTCTAGCTCGCATGTTGGTTTTCCATTATAAGATAACATAAAGAGTTATGCAGTCTTCGGCAGCAGCAGCGTAGATTTAAGAAGCTACCACAGGCTTTAAGCTTGATATGTCAAGTTTCATCAACAGTGAGCAGAGTGCCTTCAGTACCAAGCTGTTCTAGAAGAAGCATGCCTTTCTTTTTCCTCAGCCCATGAGAAAGTTAGGAAATACTCTAGTGGTAATCTCTATTTGGTGTGCTTGGAGGTATCTAGTTCTTCACCATCCCCACTTGATGACAATAAGGCTGTCATTGAGACAATAAGGCTGTCATTGACCTTTCTTGGATAATGAGGAGAATCTTTCATATTTCACAAGGTATCAGTAGCTTCTTTCAGGCCCTGAAACTTCTGAGATACCTACTGAGATAAATCTCTCTGGATTGTCCTTTGTGAACTTTTTATATCTGGAGATGCTCCATTTATCAAAGAGGTTTGATTTTAACGTGGCCAAATCCCTGTGGTGAACCCCAGCCTCTTCCAGTGCTGTTTGGAATCAAGTCCATAGAGAATATCATATCCTACTGGAACACAAAGATATCCAGTTTTCATAGCTGTTTCCATCCTCACTTTTATGGTGGCTCCAGGGAGAGAACAAGATTCTTATCAAACAAAGTGCTGAGAAAAACTGAAGCCTTGTCAAGAAAATGTACTATTGTTTTCTGAAGAAAAGGATTGACCTTTCTGGAAGCCTCCAAGACTGGAATTTAGGGTTAGAAATCCTCTTTGTGGGGGGCAGGCCTACCTTCAAGCCGTTGCTCTCCCACATGGACCCAGTGGTGACTGTGTCTTCTGATCAGTACTGTGCTGAGTCAGTTGCAAATGCAAGAGGAAGCAGTGCTTGCCCCGCAATAGCTATTGTATGTCATCACAGTAAGAAAGGCTAAAGGCTGGATCTAGTAACAGGTTGCCATGTTATTTTAGAGAAAGGTGAGCCTGACCCAAGCACTTCTATTTGGAATAGATCCATTTAGACTGTGATAGTTTCACCTTTTTTTTCTTCAGTGATCTCCTCCTGACTTTTTTTTTTCCAACAGGAAAACACGACATGTGAATATCCTGCTTTTCATGGGTTACTCAACAAAGCCCCAGTTGGCTATTGTTACACAATGGTGTGAGGGCTCCAGCTTATATCACCATCTACACATCATTGAGACCAAATTTGAAATGATCAAACTAATTGATATTGCACGACAGACTGCACAAGGCATGGAGTAAGTATCATACTACTTGCTTGCAAATGAACGTTGGGACAACATTTACTTAAACCCTTCACCCCGACTGACAATGGCAAATTAGCCAGGTTTGCATCTGCTCACTTTGCCAAGACCAGAGTCCTCCTGTCTTGATGAGCGAGGTATTTGGTGGAGTGTTTATTACTGTTGATCAGTAAAACAGGTTTTCTTATGTTCTTTTGTTAGAACACAGGGAAAGACAAATCGTCGAGGAAGATAGTCTCAGCGAGTAGAATAAGGATAATTACAGTGTGGTTAAACTTTCAGTCTTGTGAGCAAAAGAGCTTTAATTCTTGCATTAAGAGAGGTAATAATAAACAAACAAAAAGTCTGAATCTGTACCCAGAGTATGTAAGATGAAAAACCAAATTCTACAAATACTTTGTCAGCACCTGTTTCAACAAGTGATCAGTAATATAAAACATTCAATTTCAAGGATGAAGCAAAAGTACTTAAGGTTCTGAAGTCTTTACTATAAGCAATGAAGTATAGTGTCCACTTTAAGGACAAACAAAATGGTAGTAGGAAATCATTTTTATCTTTAATGGAAAGGGCCATTGTTATCCATATTTTGTTTAAGAATCCTTTCAAAGCACCTAAGTCAGTAACTTTAAAGCAGTAAATAATATACTAATTACTTTGAATAATGTTTATTTAATTTTTAATTTAAATATAAATATAGAGCTATTGAATAAAAAGTGTTGAATTTATGTAAAACATTAGAAAATCTGGAGTTTGCATTACCTTTATTACCTCTTTATAGCTTGTACTTTTCCTGTAATAATTTTTCTATTTAAAGCTTTAGGGTATATTCATCACAAGGCAGATAGTCTTACAGTAGAAGGTAAAATACAGTTTTAAAAAAAAATCACCCAGTGAACTGAAGGACACAATGCTGTAAGACAGCACAAAAAAGGGGTAAACAGCCCTATTAGTGAAAAGAATCAATGTATAGTTAGTCCTTCTCATTTAAGTATTGTAGATCTCTATTAAATAAAGAAATAATTTCAGCATTTGAAGAAAACATACCTATTTCATTCTAAGAAGCCTGTGTGAGTAATCACTACTCCCATAAAGGGTATAGAGTGAGTAAGAATTTGCAGAACTAGCCCAATATTCTGTGTCAAAGTCAGACCACTGAGGTAAGATCAGAGAAATTACCCTCCAGCTAGAAAACTAGTCAGATGATTGCAATTAATAGTGCAATTTCTCTACTAAGTATTATATTATTTTTAGTCGGGGGTGGGGGAGGTGTTTACAGCAACCAGCCTCAGGCTCCTGCTAGCCTGCTGGTCTCCCCAGGCTCCCTCTGCAGGCGATGGAGATGTGGAAGCTCTTCTATAAGCATGAATCAAAGCAGGAGCCTGAAGTGAGGCTCTTCTGGCAGGTTTGTGCCAATCTCGTTGACTAAACAAAGAGCCGTAGAAGGCTAGTTGCCTAATTTAGGCTAAACCTGTGCTATGGGGCAAGCACTCTCCCTGCAAACTATTTATCCAGTCCCCAGTCGGGGCATCTCTTTTCCGATCCCATGCTGAAAAGCAGTCAGCATATTTGTGGGGTACACACTGAGAACGGAGAAGCACTTTTGTGTCCCACAATTTAAAAACAGCTTACCTAAAGCTGTCCCCACAAGGTGTCTTGACAGTCACCACAAAGGCTGGGGGGCAGAGCCTTCAATCCTGAATGGCTTTTCAAAAACTACTGAAATTCTTTGATTTTGATTCTGAATATTGTTAGACAGAACTCAAAAACAGAAATTGGTGCGTAATAGTTATTTCATTCTTCAGTAGCATCAAGTTTGAGCTGGAAATACAATTTTTATTTTATTTTTGTTTTTCTTCCTGACTGTTGGAGGAACTGTCATGGGTAGCTGAAGTTTTACCATCTTGATAAACGTGTGCCGTTGGAATATCTACAAGTTTGTATTTCAGTAGTACAGTGAACTTTGAGCTGTTGATTACTGAAATGTCATTTAACCCACCCAATCTATGATATTCCTTTCCAGTTATTTGCATGCCAAGTCAATCATCCACAGAGACCTCAAGAGTAATAGTATCCTTTTTCAGAAAAGTGACTGTGGAACGTGGCATCAGTCTTCTTTTTCTGACAGAAATGAACTTAATAACGTGGAAAAAAGCTGTTCACATGTGAATATTTGCTTGTTTGAGAAGGAGTAATATCACTAGTAGCAAAGTAAGGAATACTTTTTATGTCTATTGATGTGACTGCAGTAACATGGCAAGTTTTGTTGTAGTATCACAAAGATTTTCACATCACTGGGTTTTTGTGTGTAATGAAAGATTATGCCAGTCCAGACATGGAGCATTCTCAGCTTCTAGTGGTTCTTTGAATACCTGACACTTCAAGAAAGTCATCTGAGACATAGTCTTCTCCGTACAGGTCCAGTCATTACATCTATAGTCCTAAAGGACTGTCATTCAAGATGCTGACTGCTTAGTGTGTGTATTACATGAGGAATAAGAACTTTCTTTAATGATGGTAGATGTTAGAAACTTATGTCTAATGTTGCAAATTCATAGCTACTTACAGTTCTTGTGATGATCTGTAGGGTCAGTACAGTGTGTTTGGTTTCCCTTAACAGTTCCCCCTTTAGATATTTTTCTTCATGAAGACCTCACAGTTAAAATAGGTGACTTCGGTCTAGCTACAGTGAAGTCACGATGGAGTGGATCCCATCAGTTTGAACAACTATCTGGATCTATTCTATGGATGGTAAGTAATAGGGAAATAGTTTTTTGTTTTAAACAATTTAACTACCAGCACATGGAAATATGTGAGCTATCTTAAGCTGGAAAGGCCAAGCAGTAATATGAAATGAATGAATGCTTTTGAGTTCTTCTTTAAGCGCCTGTCAGCAAAAACCCTAGGTGATGTGATTCTCTATTTTGAGGGTTAAAACTGAAAGGAAAATGGTGGCTAAGGAAAAAGGATACGATTAATCAAGGGCTGAAGAGAAGATGGGAAAAGCCATGAAAAGCTTCCTGCAAAGGAACAGGGGAACCGGCCCAGCCAAAAGGAATGTGCTGTTATGTTTTAAATATTCAAGCATGGCTACACTGAAGATTAACTCTTCATAAGAGGGATATTTATGACCCACTGTGCATCTCAGCTTTCTCCTTTTCTCCCTGAAGAACCTGAAGGCTCAGTTATTTTTTCCAGTTACTTTTCAGCAATTTTTCAGTGTTGTTATAATTCTAGTTTCAGGATAGCTTCTTAGCCTCTACAGGGTCGTTTTGTTCTATCACAGAACAGTAAAGGGATCACGTAGCTGAAGAGGACCAATGGATTTTGAGATTCATGTCAAAGTCCACTCTGTACTCTAGGACCTAGTAACATCTGAAGCCAAGAGCAGGCCTTGCACCTGTTATGCTTTGGACAAGTCTGTATTTTGTAACTGGCATGTGAGATGCAGCATGACACAGTGAAATAAAAACTAATTCTTTCTTTTTTTGGTACAGGCACCAGAAGTTATTAGGATGCAAGATAAAAACCCATATAGCTTTCAGTCGGATGTGTATGCATTTGGGATTGTTCTGTATGAACTGATGACTGGACAGTTACCATACTCAAACATCAACAACAGGGACCAGGTAAAGGGAGTACGGGCTTGGGAATTTAACTTTAATTTCTTGTTTGCTTATTGTAGGCCGACTGGCCTCAAACAGAGAATGATTTAGCCTTGTGAAGTGCACGTTCTGATGTTTTTGAGATGACACTTCTACATTTTTTAGATCTGCCTCAGCTACATAGCACCAATACACCTACTTTCCTTGAGGTATTTTTTGTTCTTTTTACTTTAAGTATAGATTTTCAGATTCTGAGCTGGTTGCCAGGATACTTATTAGGAAGATAACACATTACTTCATAGTAATCTGGTTTAGAACAGTTCTACAAAGGAGAAATGATTTTCCATATGTTCACAGTTACTCCCCTCTCTTTTTTTTTCCTTCTGAATTGCACTGACTAATAGTTCAGGAACAAGAGTGACAAAACAGAGCAGCCATCGTTTCACTGAATGGTTTATATTCGTTTTAATCTTGAGAAATGTGTGCACCATTTAATGGAAATTCAGGATTTCCACATCTCTCAAATACTGCTTGATAGAGTGTATGACTTCTCAGCTTGTGTTCTCAGCTTCCTGTAAGAAGATTACTTAATTGTGAACGAATATTCCGTAAGTCTAGTGATACCCCGTGCCTATATGTCTCCATGTGATAGGCATGTTCAGGAAGGCTTGTCTGAATTCTCTTGTCTAATCTGGAAATAGGATCTATGCATCAAGGCCTTTGATGCAAACTATTCCATGTCTAGATGGTGATATATTTATGTTGTATTTGTTTCCCACCCCTTGGTTTTTTTTCCAGCTTCAGTACTTGAGAATTGCAACCATAGCAACGTTCATCTGAGATTGCCATTTTATAAGGCTGCTTCCATATATGTCAGAACACTTCATCCCAGTTCATCAAATTTGGAGCGAGTCCTTTTCTCTGTATTTTATTTCTTTTGAAAGAAGGGAAATGTCCAGATTCCTGGCCAGATGGCTGTAGCCTTTTTAAAGCAGCATCTGGTCATTGTTTTATTTTAACCTTTTTAGATTTGAATCATGAGCCTTAGAGACGTAGGTGCCCAGAACTGAGTGCTGAAACCAATTTTAAATCACAAGTGAAGCCTACATACAAAAAGTGACCTGATGTATTGAGTTTTATCATTCCCAGTCTATTTTCTAGAAAGGATATATAAACATTGCCTGCTCTGTGTTGGTGCAGTTGGTGCATCGGCTACTATCTCACAGCAGAGATTCTCAGTGAGCAAAGTATTATTCTTGTTGCACCTTATAGTGTCTCTGACCTTAACAGATTTCTATAGAATAATTGGGGCTGTTCTTGTGGTGACGTTACGTAATAAAAGTAAAATGCCTATGTATTTTTAAAAAGTATTGGAAACAAAAATAGTAAGTAATTTTGAATAATTTAAATACTGCAGTTATTCAGAAAAGCCTAGCTCCTACATGCCAGTAAGTCTATTTGCAGAAGAAGTAAGGGACAGGATAGACAAGTCTTTACTATGAAACATTGCTCTGGCACTTGGGAGTTTCTAAAGAAACCATATGGGAGTTTCATGCCCCCTGTTAATGCAAACACAGATGCAACTAAATCTGAAAGATGAAGAAAGACCAGAATTACAGTGGTATATAAATAACACCTCAAGCAAGCTATGTATGTTGTTTTGCTCATGTGTCAAGTTATGAAACAGGTACATTTCATTAATCAATAAGGCATGATACACCTGCTGGGTCTGTCTGACTGCTCAGAAAAGGTTGTGATTATCTGCTACAGCATGAATGGATCTTTGATTAGTTAGCTTGAAAGGGCTATTTAGTGTCAGCGTGACTGCAGTACTGAGACTGCTTTACATTTGACCTTGGCTTGACATGATGTTTGATGTTTTTTCTTATTCTTCATATATGCAAAAGAAGATCAACCAAACTTGCACTTTGCTTTCCTGCTTTCTATTAAGTGACTTTCAGTTCTATGCTTAAGTTTTAGCCCTAGGTATAGTGTAAACCTTCAATTTTAAAGATGTTGCTGTAAAAAATTACAGAGCCTGTCTGTGTCTAAATGAAATACCAAACCAGACTTGTAATAGCTTCCACAAGGAGAGCCAGCCTCTCTCTTGTTGTTGGGTTGGTTTTTGTGCATATGTGGTGGGGAGGGGGGTCAGATGGGAGTAACAAGCTTCCATGGTGGAAAAGTGTGTGAAGTCTATGTGTTTCCTAAAATGCCTTTCACTGTGAACTTGATATTGTCTTCTGTAATATGAAACAGGTTAGTATTTTATTTTTAGGTACACTGTTCCTGCCATAGAGTTGCCTTTTTTTTTTTTTTTTTAACTGTTTTTGCCACCCAAAAACTATTTCTTAGGTATAAATGGTAACTGTTTACAGGCATTCAAGTTTTGCCTAAATCTTTTTTAAAAGAAAAGGAAGAGGAAAAGTGTAACCTCTTCTCTGTACCAAGGAGGTCAACAAGCATTACACCAATGAACCAGGCAATTAGAATATCAGATACTAATTCCTAGGAACAGATAACTTGCTGCTAAAACTAAAATGGTCTAGCAAAAATTCAGTAACATTCATCGTTTTTCTTATTTGTTACGCTGTTTTATGAACTCATCTTCTCCTCCTTCATCTTTTTTCCCTAAAATAAAGATAATATTTATGGTGGGACGAGGATACCTATCTCCAGATCTCAGCAAAGTACGGAGCAACTGTCCAAAAGCTATGAAGAGACTAATGGCAGAATGTTTAAAAAAGAAAAGAGATGAGAGACCCCTTTTTCCACAGGTGAGAAATGTTCCTCTTTAGCTCTCAGTTATGAGCTCGCTAGCCACTTCAAGATTTTTTCTTTTTTCTGATTAGTGCTCCAACGGGGCTTCATAAGAGTGATGCTTTGGTACCTAGTTAATGCTGTTTAATTAGAAATGTTCATTTGCAATCCAAAAAGCAGATATTAAAATTACTTGTACAGTTGTAAAAGCGTTTATGTGTTGGAGAAAGTTTCTACTGGCCAATAGTGAAATTAGTAATTCACTAATGCTTCAGAGTTAGAACTTGCTGTGTCTGTTCTCAGAAATCTTTTTACCCCCTCTTCCAGTCCCCCAGCGTTATGATAGGAAACTGATAGTTTTGTCACAAAACTTGATTTATCATCCATGCTGGGAAAGGCTTGGATTCTAAGAGCTGGCTTATTTTTTAACCTTGTATTAAGTATACAGAATCAATGTCAAAAATACTGAGCTCCCCCTGCTGGTTTCGTAGTAGTGGTGTTAAGCAAACCGCTTCCAAAGCTGTGTGTGTTTGCAGTGATGATATAGTACTAGTGCATAAACAAGGAGGTAAAGAAAAGGTAACTACAGTCATAATACTCGCAGAGGGAAATCAGTATGCCTTTTTAAAGGGGAAAATGTGTCTTCCCAGAATGTCCTTTTCAGGCTTGTGAGGAAATAAATACCAGAGTGCAAAGTATTAATCTACTTTTACATGTTTCTGTTTGAATTTGTGTATAAATATTTGTCTGCAATTAATTGAAGTTCTGCCTTTGGTTTTATGAGACTGTTAACAACTTTGGAACACCAGATCTGATTAGTTATTTTCTTTTTGTTTTAGATTCTTGCCTCCATTGAGCTTCTGGCCCGGTCATTGCCAAAAATTCACCGCAGTGCATCTGAGCCCTCATTAAACCGAGCTGGCTTCCAGACGGAGGATTTTAGTCTATATGCTTGTGCTTCTCCAAAAACACCCATCCAAGCAGGGGGATACGGTGGGTTTCCAGTACACTGAGAAGAAATGTGAAAGCATGTGCCAGTGTGTCTGTGTGCTCGTGTGTTCCCATGTGTGCAACACATGTATGTTCTCAATTCCTACCAGCTATTTCTTAGGGTGTGCTGAGGGAATGAAAATTCACTTCCTAATGCTGGGCATCGGATGTCCAAAGTACAAAGTTTGTGCTGGTAAGGGATGCCTTTGGAACAGCTGGCACAAGAAGAATTATAAGGTCACTTCAGAGAAATGGGAAAAGTCACTTCAAAACAAGCAAAAATCATCCTAAGATCACTGGTTTTCATTTTTGCTTGTTGTGTCATTTTTTGCCTAGTGTACTGATTGGAGTTAGTTACTCACTAGTGTATTTAATTTTAATCTGCTCGAGTGCTCAAGCTACCTTCATTTTTTTTTTCCAGTTGAAGTCATTATATTTGAGCAATAATAGGCTTTAGGTTCTTCGGTTAGTAATACTCTCATGTGTGGGAAACAAGGTGGAAAATAAACTTAGCTGCAAGGCTGAGCTCAGTCAAAACTTTTTGTGGTCAGCAGAAGTGAGCAGGTACAGAATCCAAAGAAAGATCTTAGTGGTATGTGACTTTTATTTTGAAAGTTAAGGCTTAAAATAGCGCTGCTTAGAGAACATCTCCTCCTGCAGACGAGTGGTGGTTTGGGGCTTTTTTATTTGTTTTTGGTTTTTGCCTAAATGTTATAATGTGCTATAGTTTAGACAGCTCAGTGTTTTCTTACAATGCAACATAGAAGGAATTCTGAATCTCTGTTTTGCTGAACTACAAGAATATTACTAATAATGATCCCTGTACCCTTCAATTAGCAAGGACTTCAAAATTTAAAGAAAAATTATCTGAAGCGTAACCAAAATCTTTAAAAGAAAAACACTGCTAATACCCATAATAATAAAAGAGCATTTGAAAACATAGTTATTTTCATAGAAATCAGTATTATACTATGAACTCTGTTAAAATGAAACATTTTAGTTACTTCAATATTGCTGTTAATACTACAGAACATACCCTCTGTTCAGTGAGGGATTGTTTTTTTCACTTCCATATAAAAGCTGCTAGTTTGATTGGAGGTGAGTCAGTTAGACTAGAAACCTAACAGAAAGCTAGAAACCTTATCAAGATTAGGTTAGCTCACTTGAAAGACTATTTTTCGCTGGACCTTTTCTCTGAAACTGATGAATCAGAGTAGTGGTTGAGGTTGTAGCAGTCTTTGGTGTCAAATATGAAAACAGTAACAACTGTGTTGTTTCATATTTTGCAGTCAGGTGGTTTTGCTTATTGTAAACTGTTAAGCTGTTCATTTTCACAGATCGTTTTGCACCAGAAACAAGCTATTGCTGTTTCTGTTAGGACTTCAAGGGCCGGAAGTGTTCTTAATGGCTTTTACAGAGAGGTTTGCACTTTTGCTAGCAATATGCTTTTTTATTAGATCAGAAATTCAAAAAGGTTTTCTTTTCTGCTCTCTTTCTGGCAACTGAGTCTTTTAAAGTGGGAGGTGGAGTTAGCTTAGAGAGGGATAGGTAATTTCTACATTTTTCAGGTCTGAATCTCTTGGTCATTTTAGCTTCTATTGTTGGAACGGTTTTTGGAACTAACTTTTCTTTTTTCGTTACATTATGCAAGAAAATTCCGTTGTTGAAATCTAGCTCTATGGAAACAGTTATTGAAGACAAATTTGTTATTGTCTCAAAAAATCTGTTTCCCATCTTTCTGGTACTTCTACCTCATCTTGGTAGGCCTATCTTAAAATGGAAAGAGGATTTAAGTGGTTTTTTTTTTTTCCTTTTATCCATTAAATTTTCTATTTCACAGACTTGAGAGAAATGCTTCTTAAGCCTTGGGGAATGGTATTTGGTGCAGGCTACAATGCCTGTCTCAGTAAGCCTAAGAGGAGGGCTGCTGGGTCTCCTGCAGAATCTAGAAATGCTGCATCGCACGTGGAAAAGACTTACTTGGATTTCAGGAGAATGCAGAACCATCATCGCTGCTCTGCCCAGTCTTACTCTTTCTAGGGTCTGCCAGATAAGTTCGAGCAAGATATTCTTTGGAGTAGTGTTATCCTTGTTGTTGTTAAGATTGTTTTTCAGTGTTATTGGAACTACAATTATGGAAAAAATGCTGGCATCCTTAAATATGTTTGGCCCCATTTCCTGCTGTATCTATGGTCAGTGCATTAGAATTTTTCTTGTGCCATTTGAGGTTTTCTTATATGTCAAGCACCATTCTTGCATCTTTGATGAGAACATGATTTTTGCTTTCTACAAAGTATTTTTTATGAAACCTAAAAGGAGGCTGTTTTTTGGTGATCATTGCCCTTATCTGACATAAAGGCATTTGGGCATTTAACTTGTGTAGTTTATAATTGCAGTTTCAATAGGATTTTGCAACATGTATAGGAGGAAGATTCCTAAGTACCTGTAGATTTGGTCAAGGTTCTTAAAAAGTGACTGCAGCTCAGCTGTATTGTTCTGAAACAGATGTCTGTAGGTCCTGAAAATGGGTATATGAGAACCCAGGCTTTTTGGAGGGGTAGTTTATACCACATGAGATTACTTTTATCTTTACATCTCCTCCTCTGAGTACAGAAACAAAATATGTTTTGGTACCTTCTACTGGACCGGAGCCTCCTAAGTGCTGCTGTACGTTCTCCTGAGGATGTCAACTATCCATCTCAGGATATGTTCCAAATTTTTATTTAGCCAGTGGAGAGTAGCCGTACTAGAAGATTGCTACGAGATCTGACAGAAAACTGCCTTTGTCATACTTTTTTTCTGTGTCTGTGAACGTAATCTAGGCAAGGTGGCAGATTTGGTGTAGAAAAAACTTTCCCTTTGATAAGTCCAGTCAGTTTCTACACAGTGGACACAGCTTGCATGGGCCTAGAAAGGAAACATTCTTCTCATTAGGATCCTTCTGAGAAAACGTGGCATCTACTCTGGAATAAGGAGTACAGTTAAGATGTCATATATATCCTTTAGTGACCTTAAGAGTCCAGATTACTTATAAATTTGTCAGAGTGGACACTGGTAAACTGCACCTTAAATCCTTCCAGGAACAAGAGGCAGCTGGTTCACTCAGAACATGCCATTATAGTATATTATGTGGATCCATGAGATAACTTAATCTTTTTAGTACAGATTTTTGCGAGTGTGCATTTGAAGTAGTGCCCACTTGCCCGGCATGTGACAAACATGAAAAGACTGTAGCAACTAACTTAAAAGCACTCTGTAAGAAATGTAGATTTTCAAATGCCATATGTCATTTGGGAATGAATTTCTTTGTTATCGGTCAAAGCAAGTGTCTGAGTTCTGCGTGGCAGGAGGGAAAATGTAGAAGGTGCATCAGATGTCCATCTCATAATGAATGAAAAAGTGTGTTGTCTTTTCACATTCCAAATTTTTAAATATCAGCTTACCATGCTATAAAACCACATCTCAGTTGGAAGAGCCGCAGCCTGGCACCTACCTTAGCATTGGTAAATACTCTCTGATTCCACAGAGAGTCAGTTCAGCGCAGCATTGTGTGGGTTTACCACCACCAAGAACAGAGCAGTTCTCCAAAAATCATTAGAAAAATCTCCCTGCTCTCAACTCCCAAGTTAGCATTTGCTAGGTCAGCTCCTTGAGGCATCTCACTGCAGAGCCAGATGAGCACCAGTGTGGCACAGCGGGGAGGTCAGTGCTCTCCACCTCAGGCCAGGAGGGAGGGCGGGAATGCAGTAGTTGCAGCTTAGATTGGCACTGACTGCTGCAGAACTGCATCCAAAGATTTAGTGGGGTAGAACTGGGATGATCCTGTTCATGCAGGACAAGGTATGTTGGCTCTATTCTCAAAGCTGTCATCGTTTTGTCCGTTCATTGCTCTCAGGCAAGATCTTCCTGTCCTACTAGAAAACAGTGAATTCATGGTTCAAGTTATGTCACCTGACTGCATGCATCCTACGTCTCGGGAATAGGTTGCCTGTGCTGGTCCAAGTCTTGCTATAGACGGGGTTTTTCTTCTGAAAGATAAAGAACCAGCTACAGATACTTTAGATCTTCAGATTAGAAAGGGTGACACAAAAGACTTTTTAGCTACTCATCAAAAAGCGCTATTAAAACCTAGCAGGATAGAGGGTTCCTGCAGTGTAGACAGGTAGAGCCAGCTACGTTCCTCATCCAAGGACATCTGTTACTGGTAACCACATCTTATACATATTCAAACAATATAATGCCAGTTAGACGCACATATTACCTAATTTGGCCACCTGTTGATTGGAGACCAGATTAGCACCTGAGTTTTGAAAGGGGAGATTTAGTGTTAGCTTGTCACAAAAAATATCTTTGCTAAGATTTTACTTAAACGGAAGAAAAGTCTGGAAATCTCTTTTAGGTACTGTGCTGAAATACTTCTTGACTTCTGGTCCTGTTTTTCCATTGCCCTTTCATAATTAATGGTTCATCTTTTATCTTCTGTAATCCCTGTACAACTATTAAAAGCTGAACTATTAGCAGAAATGGACTGAAGGACAAGATGAGTAATGAGGGAGCAATCTCTTGTTTATAAATTGATCTGTAATCAGCAGTTTAGGAAAGCAGACTGAAAAATAAATTAAGCAGAGCATGTTTTGAAAGTGTAGCTAAGCATGAATGTCATTCTTTAAAAAAAAAAAAATTAGCTTCACAGGCAATACTTGGTGACCTTTTGTCTTTCTCCCCTTAAAAGAAGGGGGAGGGAGAGGGAGAAAAAGGAAGAAAAAGTGCAAAACTTGAGGCATTATTGACAGTATTGTGAAGAGAGTTAGGAAATCAAAGAAACGTGCAAGATAGAAGCAAGAACAATTACCAAATAGAGTATTGCAGAGCAAGAGTCTTATCTTTTGGTAGGACTAGTAAAATAGAAATTAGAATCATCACGAAGTGTTGGCTTTTCTCCTTATGCTGTTGTTAACTTAGAGCTACCACCACAGGCTATCAGGGCACGTTTTGCTTGGGGTCAGTCACAGCCCGCTGTGCCAGCCAGCCTCACTTTAGACCTTGGGTGCACTCCCTTCTCATTTCCAGGACCCTCTCTACTCTACTTGCTGATTTTCTTCCTGTTCCCTTATATCAGCTATAGCAGCTGTTCCTAGCAGGCCCTGTACATGCTGCTTTTACCCTCCCACCCCCCATACTGACTGCTGGCCACTCTTCTTGGTCCCTTTCTTTATGGAGCAAGCCATTCCACTGAGTTAGTGTCATCGGTCTAAAATTCTTTTTGCAGGGACATTTCTGGTTTGTTTTCAATATGCAGAATAGAAGCCCCATAAACCAAGATCAGCAAAACTCTTGTTCTTGAAAAAGATGGAAGGACACCAAGATAGAGAGGAGGTGTTTGGATGTAACAGTATTCACACACTTCTGTTGAACAGAACAAAAGGTCTGTTTGATGTATTTATCAATCCATTATTAAAAGAGCTCTGAAAAATCCTGTCAAGAAAGGGGCATAAATTAACCCCTAATTCATATGAAACCCACCAATGGAAAGTTCTGTGTACATTTCTTTTTCCATCACTCTTGAGTCCTTTTGGTTAAGCATATTTGGACACTCATTCCTAAAAATTCTACTTGACATTATTTCTTTGTGGCTGAAAGAGACTTTTGGTTAATGCCTAAGAGCAAGAGGATGAGTATCTTAATTGCAGCTTCTGTGCAAAGCTCTGTGGCAAACTTTATAAGACTTTGGGAAGCAATTTTGCTCTGTGCTATAGTTTCATCGTCTTTGAAATGGGACCATATATCTGACAGCATGACAGCTTGCTGAGACTAAATAAATGGTGTAGAGCATCTTGGGATCACTGCATGGGAAAGCACTGCACAGAGTTATTGTTTACTCAGTGATTCTGAAGTAAGCATAGGGTTGCTCTGTTTCCTTGTGTTCCCTGTTTGTGATCCCTAACTTCTGATCTGGGAGTGAATAGACAATCATGTAATTCGGTGGTTTGGGTTTTTTTTTTTCCTCACAGTAGGTTGTTATGTTGGTGTGTAAGCCAGGTTCTAATATTCTTTAATACTGGTTTAATATTCAGGCACTTTACTGCATAGAGTCCTTAAAGGTTAATATGTGTGTAGAATAGTTCTTTGTTACAAACCAGTTTTCCACCAGTAGAGTAGAGATTAGTTTGCAGTCTGACACATTTATCGCAACTGTCACTTTTCAGCCGGATGTATGTGCAATAGGGAGTTTAAAGTGAAATTTAACTTAGACTTTATTTTTAAATGCATGATGAATTAGACAATAGCTTGAACTTTCAGACCTCTGTCCTGGGAAGAATGGGTACAGCTTGCTTTTAAGAAATTCTTTTTTAAGTAAAATGTGCTGGCTCTATATTCAGTGTTCTTTCACTATGTAGTCTTTTATGCTTTATTTTTAACAGTTTGCATCTTTTACATTTAACCTAATGTTCAACTAGTCTGGAGAGAATCTCTGACCGCCTAATAATTGAAACCACCTTTTTAAACCAAGCTCTTGTCCTCCCTCTACAGGAGAATTTGCAGCGTTCAAGTAGCCACAGCACCATGGCAGCACCCACTCTGTTATTTAAGTCTTGTGTTCCTACAGTTTAACATCAAAACTCTATTCTGCTCCTCAACACCTAAAGTAATTTAGAAAAGATATCCATAAGCTTAAAAGTGGAGCAGAATGGAACTGCCAGTCCAACACAATGGGAAAAAAAAATACCTTTTTAGGAACCAGAATACTCTGCTGCCAGTGTTTCTCCTTCAACACAAAACACCACGTGCATTCGGAGACCCACAGTGGCTGCCTGTGCCGTTGGCATCATTC